GGAATTATTCTATTCAAGTAAGATTACCTTCTGTATTATTATAATGTATGATCATACTGGATAAGCTTAATATGCAGCAGCAGTTAAAAATCAAACTCACAATGCCCATGTTGCAGAGCATAAGATACGTGACCAAACTAACGATACATGACAAGGGATATTAATATGTGCAAAGTAACACAGGTGCTTAAGTAAGAAGAGGTGGTGCTATAGAAACGACAGGCCATACTGTAAGTAAAAAAATGCTTCCAAAAGGAGGTCCTTTAGCCCCACTTATATCTTCAATCTCCAGTCTGATCGATGACAACATAAAACAATCCACTCATAATCAAATATTAAAAGTCTTGGTATTCGCCCTGAAGAGCACGAACATGAGCCAAAGTCGTGGCATGTTGCACTTACACAAGATGACCAGCAGAGGACGACGTTGGTGCGGTTCTTGTCTGCAGAGGAAAGATCTAATTGTGGACGGGCCTGTATCATCATGGCACTGCTGTCCCCCTACACTACACCCTGTTGATTGGGTTTGGTTGCTTCTTCCTTTCCCCTCGTGTCTCCGCGTGAGATGTAAACACAGTCTGTGTGGAGCTTGTGGGACTGAAGAAACAACAGCAATCGTTGTCTTTTTTGTGAAAAGTCCTTAAATAAGTGGTGTATGTTTGTTTGGTTTTTGAAGTGATATGAACGTTTACATGTTTGTCAAATGCGGCAAAAGAAAAAAATAAAAGAAACGAGAGGATGCAGCTAAATATAAGCACTGCAAAATAATACCTCAATCCCAGACTGGCTACATTGCCACGAACAAGAATGAAGACATGACCTATTTCTTTCTTTTTTTCTATCAATGCAGCAGTTCTAGTCGTACCGACATGAACTGATGCATGTCTTGATTCTATAAGTTATGATTTGAGCATCTTATGGCATTAATAAAACATGTGTACTCATATTGGTACTTCCTTTACATGTGCCAGTTCGTTAAGACTTCGTATACAGTAAGATTGTTTCACAGGAAGGAGGTTTCAGTCCTCTGGCACTCTGTATCAGACTGTATTAGCGGCTCTATCTGTAGGCCTCCGGGCTACTGTCTGAACACGTCCACATCTCTGTGAATGTCTGCTCGGCTCACATTCCAATGTCAGGGAAAAGAAAGGCAAAATTGCCCGTTAAATGCTATGTTGCGGTGTAACCTTACAGAGAGCAGGGCGGGACTCCTTCCACAAAGAGTAACATGCAGTGCCAGCCGCCGCTCTATAATGAAAACATAACCTCAATTATTATCACCTGACGAGCAACGTTTCACAGCTGTAGTCATGCTAAGTGTTTTGTCCTTTTTCTTTTTTTTTTCTAATAACAATGGAAGACTCGCTATACAGTACATGATCAGAGTATTAAAAGCAACATGACAGCTTATTTACTTGTTTATTAATCTCTTATTACCTCTAAATATATATTTATTTTAATCTGATCAAAATACTCAAGTCAATTTGGAGTTTTGACAGCAGCTCAAATGGTCTTAATCCGAGAATAACGGGTTCAGTGTCCAATCCGTTCAGAGGTGCTCAAAGTACTCACAAGCAAACAAACAAGCCTAAAACTTCTGTTATTAAAAGGTAAGTAGGGAAACAAGATATGTTGTTTTTTTTGTCACATTATACCGTAAAGTATTGCTCTGACCTAATTCTTTGAAAGGCCCTTTGCCCATAACAGTATCCATTCCAAAACTTTACTGAGTCTACATTGGTATTGATTGCTTTATTGGATAACCTAAATGGTCAATGTGGCTTTATAAATGAAAAACAGAACACTTTGTGTGAGTTGAACTTCAAAAACAAATCTAAACTGTTTCATGTGAACAGCAGATTAAGAAGATTCATCAACTCTTCATTTGTCCAAGAACACATTGTGCACGGTTCACAGCAACATTTTAACTATCACAACCACAACATCCAGGACTAGAAAACACCAGTAAAAAACCTGCCAGTGTTTATTTCTGCAGAAGTGAAAGCATCAGATAGATTGATGATATTACCAGCATCATCATCAGCAAAGTATGAAAACATTAGAGTGACAGTTTCTCATGATTTAGTAAATCCAAGCTTTTTGTGTGTTATTCTATAGCCAAAAATACATTGAAAAACACATTGACCTGGATCTGATACAACACAGAGAAACATTACACACTTGAATTTCGCTTTCAGTTCCAGATATGTGAGTTCTGATAACATAACAACCCTCTGAGTTGCTACTCAGCCGTAGGCACAAAGCGTTTCATAACCAGCTACAGGGGCCTTACTTATATCAGATTACCTTCCAACAGCTGAAATCAGGGAAGGGGGAGTGAGGGAGGGGGGGGGTGGAGCCACTAAACAGCTGAAGGGACACTGCAGCCCACACTGAGAGCAGGTCTCACAACCACACAACAGACTCACACACTGAAAACCCCAGGTCCACGTGCTGCCCTTACCACAAGGCACAGCACAAATACTGCCTATTGGCTCCTGTGAAGGAAAGGAAAGTAAGGTCAAACTGCATAAACTGTTGATACCGGATAGAAGAGTATAGAAGCAATTATGATCTATGAACCGATACAGAACATCAACATACGGTAAACAAACTCATTGGTTAAATTAGAAGTGGTTTACTAACTTGACTCCTGCAAAGACTGAAAAGACAAAAAAACGTGACCTTACAAAGCCTAAATTATCAATAAGGACAATTTTCAATCTATGCATAGTTACAGTACTAATCCTCCAAAATAAGACATGAAACTAGCGATTGAGGACATAAACTCACGTTTACAATGTTTACTGAGGGAATAAATTTAGTGAGAAGTCGGGTCATTTTCTTAGTCTTCTATACAATCTGACTTCTGTTTGCAATCAGAGGAGTCGCCCCCTGCTGGCCGGTAGAGAGAATGCAGATTTACGGCACTTCCGCATTGACTTCACTTTTCAGAACCGAAGGTTGTAGCCTGACCTCTACATCACCAGCAAGACCACCTTTTGTGAACAATGTGGTGCATACGCCTCTGATGGATGACCAGTGTATGCGGGACATTTAGGTCTCTTATATACAAATACATTTAAAAATCTTTACTGGATAGTGAAAATACAGCATAATATAATAACAATAAACACATAAATAAATAGGCAAAAATACAATAGATAAATATTTATAATGTTCAACTGTGTATTACTGTATATATGTATAATATAATGTAATTTAAATACACGTAAATAATATATATTTTAAATATAATTTTAAATGATAAATAGATGCAATTGAAAATACTGTATATATTTTTGCCTTTAAAAAACACAGTTGAGATCAATAAATTGTCATGAAAGCAGAAAGCATTGTATTTAATACAAACAAAAAATATATATAAATCAAAATAAAAAGTATCAATAAAAATCTTTACTCAAAAAAAATGAAGACTTTCCTGATAATTATTTCCAGTGTCAGGCTGCAAAGGGCATTGCAAAGTGCATTGTGTTGCATGACATATGTATTTTTCTAATTAGGTATTGCTAAATTGCAACATATGATTTGAAGACATCTTCCAACACTGCTAACAAGTGAAACTGACAGACAACACAGATGCTATTTGCACTTCTATTCAAATTGAAGCACTGTACCTATATGTATTTAAAGGCAAGCTACACAGCCAGTAAGGACAAGCACTTGAGCTGAATTTTACTTGCCACACAACAGGTCTTTACTGTATCCAGACAGTAAGACTCCCAAACATCAAGTATTTGCAACATGGAGATGCTTACTACTGATGAATTACATGTGGGTGTCAATGCAGTTATCCTGGTTGACAATGCTGAGAAACATATAACATATCTGTGCTCAACATAGGTGGGTGGAAGACACGATCTGCTGTGTGGAAGCGTACTGGTATCAGCTTTGATCACACAATCCTTGCTCCAGGACCAAGCATGGACTTAAAGACACACACATCCAGCAGGTAGAATCTAGTAAGTGAACAGGGCACTGACCAAAACACAACTGCACACATTTCCTATGCACATATTCAACTGAATTAGACTGTTGGTGTTGCAACACTTCAAGAAGAGTGTGTATGGATCATGGAGTGCATAATTGAGGGATGAGTTAAGGGACAATAGAAGATAAAAAATAAATCGATGCAGCAGAACCGCACATACCCTTCTTCCTCATCAAAACATGGTGGCTACATCACCCTCAACAACTCCACCACCAAGACATTCAGCGATACTGGGGTGTCTGCGATGAGGAGAGGGCTAGAGAGGTCTGTTAACCTCACTTCCAGCACTTCAGCAGCAGCAAACGGAGTGAGTGTACTAGCAGAGTGATAGAAGTTGTTATGCTAAGTCTAAAGGCAGCAGCAAAGGCTTCCCCCTCTTCTGTTCTTTGTAATTAATAAATGATGTGAGGCTGGACTGTTTTTAGAACTGTACATGCTGATAAATGTAGACCTGTAGAGATTAATAGTGTTTAAGAACCATAAAACAACATCTGTACATAATTTCATGTTATTTTTTTGCTTTCAGTTCTTCAGTACCCGTTAGTATTTACTAGTCTAATCAGAATGTACCGTGAGGTGGAACTCTCTGAGACATATTTATCTAATTTACAATTCCTGTTACAAACACTTGCTTTCTTACTGTCAGCACACTGGAATAGGTATGGACTGGCATAACTTGTGAAAAACTTTAGTTATAAAGATTTAATGAAGTTGATCTTTAGAATATGACCAGAAGCTTGTTCTTCTCCTTCGATTTTTATTGCAAAGCCTCAAGTAAGCTAAGCAGTCTGCAATGCACCGGCCACCTGAACTATCTTTAGCCCCTGCTGGCAAGTGAATGGAAGTGCCGGACTTATCTTCACTGCTATCATCGAGGCAGTCAGTATTTTTAGGGGACAGCAGCAGCTGCAAAAGCATTTAACGGTATTCCATGAACAATGACACTCGGGGTGTCTGAGGCCTGAACGACACAGAGATTGGAGGGGGACCACTCTGACGTTTGTTAAACGGGAAGCTGGGGTGGACACTGAAGTTGTGTTTTTTGTTCCTCCTGCCGGACAAAAAGCCCATGGAGATGTGCTGGAGTACAACGTGGGACCTTTGAGGAGAGCATGTGTCTGAGTCTGAAGTCAACTTGGGACATTACTCAGCCTTCAGGAGACGGGCGGCATCGCTTCTTACCTCGACGAGAGATTGCGAGCGCGGAATGCATGTTGACGGTCGTTCCCCGCGACTGAAGCGAGGTAGGTCATGTGAGGGGTACACTGCACAGCTTCACAAGGGGCAGAGGTCATTCCAATTAAATCAGACAAGTAAACACAGGGGTTAATCTCCTCTCTTTAAACCTCCGGAGGGAATATTGAAGACACTTTCAGGGCAATGTCCAGACCGGGCTATATGAAATAACATAATGAAGTGGTATACAAAATAGATTTCCATTAACATTAAGACTAATTTTAAGTACAAAGGAATGTAAATGATAAGCAATTAAAACTGTTATGTTAAACATTTTTTACATGTATTCAAATTGATTTAAAGTTGACCTGCAATGTTAAAGGCTAGCATAAGGATTGGTGATACTTTGAAAGGTGTGAAAGAATACAAGACAGTATTGTTCAGTTTTGCAGTATTTGACCAGTGTTTAAATACGTTATTATGAATATCATTATGAATATATTGTTATCAAATGTGTCAGTAAAAACTATCCTTCAAAAGGAATCCTAAAAAACACTCAACACTCTGTGGGAGCTGTCCCAATTGGTCCAAAGGGGAGCATCATTTTCACGAGGGGAGAAATAATTACAAACTGTTGTACAGACAAAATTCTAACTGATATTGTTTTACACTCAGAGCTGCCAACAAAACATATGACGGCAGCTCTGAGCTCTGGGGGAGGTCTTTTTTTTTAATGTCACGGTTGCATTTATTTTAAATCCAACAGTGACATTTTCTCAGCATAGTTTAACTGTGAGCTCTCTTGGGTGGGCAGGCTGTGATTTTCGTCCTGTTTGTGTGAGCACGCGGGTTTTCAGAACCTTCTTTGTGATACCTGACACACACTCCCCCTCGCAGGTCTTTATTTAGGGCATACTATATTAAGCACTTTCCCATTGAAATACAGCACCAGCTGTACTGGCTATGTGTTGTGGCTGCTGTTGCAATAGGACTAGGCTGCCCCCCCTTCTCACTGCAAGCCTGTGTTTTCTCTCATGCGGACAGATCTAATTGAATTAGCCCTAATAATCATACCATCCGTTTGTGCTGACACGCATGCACACAAAGGAGGCTGAGCGTTGTCCATTCCAAAATACGAGGGTTCCCCACCTTATAACAGGAAGGCTAAAAAGTATAACTTCATCACATACAGTTACTTCATATCATGACCTGGCTAACATGTTAGAACTAATTATAATTTAGCTAGTTTCATTTTCCAATATGTCAAACTCACAAGCGGTTTGATATTAAAGTCATTTGTTTGTTATTTCTTTTTTAGAAATTTGCAGTGGAGAAGTTGGACTGTCTTCCCCCAGTGAATAACTGCTACTTATTAATCTCCCGGACGGCTTAAGGTGAAGTGAGGCTAACACCAAAGCAGAAATGGATGTGTTTGGTGGAGCACCACGTTTCTTTGCTTATCCACGACCTGTGGTGGTGCAAAGTGGAGCTGATGCCGTCCTAAAGTGTCAAATTGGTGGCGATCCAAGGCCTGCAGTTATCTGGGAGCGAAACAATGAAAAGATCGACCCCCAGGAACGATACAGGGTCTTTGAGGACGGTAATGTTTACAATCTCATCATTTCAGCTGTGACCAAAGAGGACAGTGGCCAGTACATATGCAAAGCAAAGAACAGCATTGGGGAAACGTACGCGGCGGCCACACTGAACGTGGAAGGCGAAGCACAAGAGATGGAGGTACGAGAGGAGAATAAGCCGCGGTTCCTCATCAAGCCCCTCTCCACTCGCGCCGGCCGTGGGGATGATGCCGTCTTCTCTTGTAAGCTTTGGGGAAACCCGCGGCCAGAGGTCGTCTGGGAAAAGGACGGCAAGAAACTCAATGAAATATTCGAAAGCACGCATTTCAGCGTGGGCTTCCAGGACGGTGGATGGTTCCAGCTCAAGATCTTTAAGACTCGTGCTCCAGATGGAGGCGTATATACGTGCAAAGCCAGGAATGAGTTTGGGGAAGCATTGGCAGGAGCTGTGTTGCTGGTTGATGCAGGCCCAGCACATGAGGATGAGGCAAATCGCAATGGCTACACAAATGGCCACTGGAAAGCCCACCAGGGAAAGCAGAGGAGTGGCAGGCAAGTGCTAAACCGGCTCAAAGACGACACCATGTCCACTAAAGTGAAAATGTTTGCAGTGACTGAGGGCAAACATGCCAAATTCCGCTGCTTTGTGACTGGGAAGCCCAAACCAGAAATCATTTGGAGGAAAGATGGCAGGCTGATACTGTCTGGAAGGCGGTACTTGTTATACGAGGACAGAGAAGGATACTTCACACTTAAAGTTCTGTACTGTAAGCAAAAGGACAATGGAGTTTACGTTTGTGCTGCGTCAAATACTGCCGGGCAAACCCTCAGTGCCGTACACCTCTCCGTAAAGGGTAAGTCAAGATGATTTTCAGTGGCTTCACAGTGTAAACTTTGTGAAAGTGGGAAGAAATGTAGGTACAACTTAGAGAGTGAACGCAGACACAGTTGCAGCCTCCAGTGCTTTTTGTAGCGAGTAAAGGAGTGAGTGAACGTGTGGTGTGTTCTTGGATCAGATTTCAAACCATTTCATGCTAGGATGATGTCAGTGAGATACCTCCAAAGAGGTACTCTGAGATCATATATTGGGTTAGGGCCAGACAGGGATGGCAAAGTTGAACTTTGAAAAGTTGCATTACAGTGTCATGAAATCTTATCTCTTGGAGATTGTACAAAAAACGAAGTAAAGTATTGTTACAATCTTTTCTATGTTCCAAAAACCTAATTTGACGATCAAAGTATATACCCGAGTGGTACAATAAAGAGTATCATCTCAGTAAATAGAAAATAGTTACGGAAGTGATCAGTGCTCTTACACAGCAAATTACAACTCATACTGTCGAATAGCACACTAATGCTAAATTGACGCATGTTGCTGCTCACAAACGCCTACTTAAGGAACTCAATGACGTAAATGTCAAGTATATGGCTTTGTATCATCATTCAGTGAATTCGTAAAAAATGCAGGTCAGCAGGCTAGTGAGCTGCAAATATAATCAGCTACCAGATGCATTAAAAGAAATTCAACCCTGGTCCACTGGAGGATTAACCAAATGTATTTATGATCTGAAATTCAACCTGACAAATATCCAAACAGGCAAAGTCAGCTTGAGGTAGATTCCAAGCCAAGCACTATGATGTCTGCAAAGTCACTTAGCTTGTGAAAGGTGTGGGGGGGGTTTTGGGAAGGAGATCATATTTCTCACATGGCCCAGAGACGTCCAAACTCAAGGCACCAGCAGACAGCATTGTACTGTGTCAGATGAAGACAGAAAGGTGGGATTAATGGTAGATTTAAAGGTGATTTGAATGGAAAATGGTGAATGTATTTCATCAGCTGTCCTTGTGTTTAATTGGACTTAGTAAGATAAGGAAAGTAAGAGCTTTGCAAGGACTACTAAATACAGTCCACATTCCTTTGTTTGCAACTGTCTGGTACTGTCTGATGGTGTCAGTTACAAACACTTTATTTCTTATCCAACACCTCGATCTGTTAATGACCTTTCCATTCCTCAACTAAATGAGCCATGATTTTTCACATCTTGTTTACTTCCAAATATATTTCAATTTACACCGTTTACTTCAAGGACACATATGATGTGCTGTGTAAGTTTTCTCCAGGTCAACTTACCTGAAGAATTTATTCATTTTTTTGTATATAAGTTAATGAGAACATCTTAAGCTTGATTTGAACTTAACTCATTTTTAATTCGGAGACGTCACATTGGCTTGATCAAACTGGTGTGCTTCCTCCTCTTTGGTGCCAGAGCCGCCTGTGCGGTTCAAGCAGCCCCTCATTGATTTAGAAGTGTGGGAGCGAGATTTGGCTGTTCTCGAGTGTGAAGTTCCGGAGGACTCTGTTCCAATCACATGGTATCTGGAGGACCGACGACTGCAGCCAGGGGCCAAATATGGAATGGAGGAGTGGGGAACAAAACGGCGGCTAACTATCCGTGACATCGGAGTTGACGATGACGGGATTTACCTCTGCGAGATGCCCGACGGGGGCAGAAGCATTGCAGAGGTAGCTGTGAAAGGTAAATCAGGATGATACAATCAAACAGCTGTGGTACATTTACTATATATTGGAGTTTCATTGAACACCTATGTGCTCATACAAATACAACAGGGACAATCAAAACCAAAATTGATACAACCTAAACTGTGACAAGCCTAACCCTTAATTTGTTTTCCTTCTGTCATTTTTAAAACACATACGATATGGCTGACAAAAGTTATAGCATTTCATTCCTTTTCTCTCCTTTGAGCTGGTTTGGGACTTGAGAGACGAGGCAAATCCTTGTAGATGAAATTTTTAACAGCAGTGAACATAAAGTCTGATGTCTCAGTTTGTCAACTTTGTCAGGTAATTGGAATTATGGAAAGCTCTCTTTGTGTGGCGTTACTTTCCATCCATGTTTTTTGGACCAGTGCCAAATGAGAAACACTATATAATATCAGTAATTCCTTTATGAGACGGTCCTTCCAAGAAGAAAGGCAGCACCCGTTGTTCGGGAATGGGCCGAAACAACAAATGTGTATGTTTCAATTAGAAAGCACTTTAGCAGAGTAGAAGAGGTGGAAGTGGTTACACGTCAGAAAAACATTGGACTTTACCATGGGAGACCGTTTCCTACCGACAGTCAACAGTGTTTCTTTAAACCATGACCACATTCCCTGACCTTAAGTAGTTAATTATTTAACCATGATGTTGAAAGTCCTCTAACCTTAACAATGTAGTAATTTAAATTTAAAAAAAGATCTTTCCCTAAACCTATATAAGCCTAAATAAACTTTTTCCATAGCAGTATCAGATCAGAAAAGGATTTTATTTTGACAACGCTGATTTGTATTGATTTTGGAGATCAAATGGCAAATGTTGATTGTAAGGTCATTGTGTTTCATTAGATAATCAATTCCTCATCCTGTTAATGTGCAAAGGAGTCACTGACTTTCAAAGTGTTTCCTTGCAGGGACAATTTTGCGGAAGCTTCCAAGAAAAGTGGATGTATTGGAAGGTGAAAATGCAGCCTTTTGTGTTGAAGTGGACAAAGAAGAAATGGACATACACTGGTACAAGGATGCCGTAGAGTTGCGTGAAACGCATCAGACCATCCTCAAGTCCTTCGGTCGAACTCACATCCTGGTTTTCGTCAATACAAATCCCCAAGACTCTGGCCTTGTGACTTTCCTTGTTGGCAGATCCAAGACTTCCTCTCAGCTTAGAGTGAAAGGTAGGGTGCCTCATCTGTAGATCATTGAATCCCAAACAATATGTTTGCACACAAAACTAAATATCGAGATCTACTACTTTTGGAATTGCTCAATATGTATCAGTCATTCCAATTCAGAGAGACATTGACAATGGGTTTGTCTTGTTTCAGCGGCCAGACATTGTCCTCCAAGTTGTCCAGTGAGTGTGCAGATCAACACAGAGCGTGCTAACGCAGCTCTTCTCTCGTGGTCTCCTGCTCAGGACACTCGAAAGAACCCTCCATCTGGATATGTGCTTGAGCGACAGGAAGTGGGCACAGGCTCACAGGAGTGGCTGCAGTGCCTGACCACCGACTCCGCAACCTCGGTGGAGATCCTTGGTGACAGCGTACCATGTGAAGCCGATTATCGATTCCGCATCTGCAGTGTCAACAAATATGGAAAGAGCAACAATGTTGAGTTCCCAAAAGCTGTTCATTTGGGTAAGTTCTGCTGCCTTTAACATGTTTGTTTTTTTTGTTCCTGATAAATAAATGAAATCACATGGTTGAGGATATTGCTTGCTAAATCATGTATACTCTGATTCATTTTCCAGTTCCAGTTGCCAGAATACAAGCTCCCTTACAGGATGCCTTGGTGCCCGAGGGGCAAGACGCCCTCTTCTCTATTGAGCTCTCTGCTTCAGTTATCGGTACATGGTTTTTAAGCGGTACTCAGCTTCAGGAAGACGAGCGTTATTCCATGCGCAGGTCACGAACACACCAATCTCTTCGCATTCGAGGAGTTCGGGATACAGACAATGGAGCCGAGATCACGTTTATTGCCTATAGCATCCGTGATTCTGCCGCACTGTACATTCAAGGTGTGTATGGGTCTTGTTAGGCCAAAGAAGTATTTTTACCTGTCCGTTTTGTTTTAACTGGAATTAGGACAAATGTGCCAATATTGTTTGGCACCAACAGTGCAAGAGGACACCAATATATTATCACTCAGTTCACTAACCTAGATGTAAAGTCTCAATTATGTAAAAACTTTTCATTGTTTTTCTAAAATTTGCAGCTCCTCTTGTCAAGTTTTCACCGATGTCAGAAATGGATCGAAACAAATTTGTAGAAATGGGGAACCCCATTGTGCTCTACTGTGAGCTGTCAGACCCTGCAGCTCCAGTGCACTGGTACAAGAACGGGGTGGAAATACAAACACTGGAGGGTCTGCATATCCAATCAGAGGGCACCATGAGAAGAATTGTCATCCAATCAGCAGAGTTTTCACACTCTGGAGTGTATTGCTGCGATGCTATCGATGACGTCATCAGGTTCAATGTGGAAGTAGAGGGTGAGTGGAGCGAGTTTCTTACAATGCTGTCGTCTTTCACTAACCATCGTTATTGCCCCTTTCAACCCCTTTTTGTCTTTTCTTACCTAAAAAATGCATTTAGTCTGACTTATCAAAACATATTACATTTATAACTTAATGAATTTAAATATCCATAGCCCCACCCGTGAGGTTTTCAGCAATTCCAGATGCTGAGAGGAGCCAAACCATCGAAACGGGATACCCCATTGTTTTATGCTGTGAGCTCTCAGATCCCTCTGCCCAGGTGCACTGGTACAAAGACGGGTCAAAGCTTCACCCTCAAACTGGAGTAGATATTCAAACTGATGGCTTGGCGAGAAAACTGATTGTCCATTCAGCAGAATTCTTCCACTCTGGGTTATACTGCTGCAAGACAAAGGGTGACACCGTCACGTTCAGTGTGGACATCAAAGGTGATTTGTTTTACCTTAAGCGATGTGAACCATTAACAAGCCCCTCTCCAGCAAAGCAACTAACTCTGGTGATACTTTTGTATGTCGTCTGTTGCCTTTCTTCTTAGCACTCATAAGAAGTGCAGCTAAGCCGTCACCTTTTCTTAGACTGCATTACAGCATGTTAGCTATTTAGTTGTCAGTAAATAGATTATGATAATCTTGAAAGGCTGGCATGAGGTTGACATAAGATCTAAACATATCTATAGCTCCACCTGTGAAGTTCTCAGCAATTCCTGAGGAAATGAGGACCAAGTCGATCGAAGCGGGCTGCCCTATTGTACTCCAGTGTGTGGTGTCGGATCCTGAGGCCCACGTTTGCTGGTACAAGGATGAGACGCAGCTCATTTCAAACTCTGGTTTAGAAATCCACTCAGAGGGCGACACAAGGACATTAGTTGTTCAGTCTGCAGAGCTGTGCCACTCTGGTGTGTATAGATGCAGCACACAGGATGATACCATGGAGTTTCAAGTGGAGATCAAAGGTGACTTTACACTTTTTATCTTGTGCGTTAATATTATAACCCCACCTCCTCTTTACAGATGCCACTAATAATCCCCGCTTGTACTGTATGTGGTTTGACGTACTGTTTCATGCATATAACCTTAAAGCATTGTTGATGCCCATGGTAATAATTTGCTGAAGGCTTTTTAATCTTTTGCTCAGCAGTTACATTTTTGCAAGGTGTCCGTTTCCACAGTCTTGATTTGATTTAGCTCTCCTGAATTCCCAATGCTAGCTATAGCAGTGACGTGCTCTACTGTCTTTGACGTTGAGAGAACCAAATCACTTGAAGAAGGCAAACCTTTGGAGCTGGAATGTGAGGTTGCAGACTCCACTGCGCCTGTGTGCTGGTATAAAGACGGTGTAAAGCTCTCCCCGCAGAATGATTGGGATATACAAAGTAATGGCACATTGAGGAGACTCATTATCCCAGCTGCTGAGCTCTTGCACTCAGGGCTATACAGCTGTGAAACCTCTGATGACACTATCCACTTCACTGTGGATATCAAAGGTGATTACTATTTAAATGTGTTTGAGCAAACCCTAGAGCTTCCTGGTGACTAGATTCAACTAACACTTGCAATATATCTGTCTGTCTGTTTTCAAATGGTGCTTTGTGTGAAGTTGTAACAGTTTCTTAAATCAAGGTCAAATTTATCTCTACTGACAAAATGTTATATCTATGTATTCCTTGAAAACTTTTTTTTTCTACTTGAATTTGGTCTGAGATATAAACGATTGGTTCCCTTCAGAAAGCTGAATCTATAACCCCTTTCTTAATCAGAGTGTACATATGCACTGTTCAGTCCGCAATTATAATATGAATCATCATCTTTAGCTCCGACGCTGCCGCTGCTGCTGCTGCCCTCACCAGAGGTGGTGGAGACGCATTCGCATGAAGCAACCTGCCCACCTGAGCCAACCTATGAAACCTCAAACCCTGCTTCCCAGGTGTCACTGCAGAGGGATAAAGAACATGATTCTAATAAAGAGCCTAATTTGGAAATGGGAGGCATCAAGAAGACCCTTATTATTGAACCAACTTCAAACTCTGGAGCATACTATTGCGCAACAGCAGATGATGTTGCCCAATTAATAATAAACAATCAAGGTGATTCTGCAAATGTGTTTCAGTTTAGTTATGACAAACTAACTTTTGGTCCATCTTCAGTTTTGTTGTTACAAATGCAGAGCTAATATCTGTGCCAGTTTTGACAATATTTTTTTGAAGTCACAATGTACATAATGTAAATTATCCCCCCCCCCCCAATGATTGTCTGTAGCGCCACCTCCTGCATATCTGCTTGGTCCTGATGAGAAGTCAGAGTCTGCTGAAACGGACTGCCAAATTGTTCAGCAGTTTGAGATTTCAGATCCCATTGCCAAAGCCTGTTGGTACAAAGATGGAACCCAGATCTACCCAAAAATGGAAGCCGACTGTGAATCACAGGGCGGCAGCCAAACTGTGCCCTTCCAGTCACATGACTTGCCTGGTGACGGGAGGTTTGGCTGTGAACCATCTGGTGACGCACAGTTAAATGTGGACATGAAAGGTGGTGTTCCACATTGTACCTGCACAATTAAGAATCAAGTATTTGGTGACTTGCGTGAAGGTATCACCCAGCTCATTGTTTTCTCTTTGGCTTTGTCCAAACAGCAGAGCAGTGTCGCTATGGTCACGAGATTGGTGAGATAGCTGAGGCATCTGCCCAATACGCTGTGGATGTTGAAGGTGATTTGATATATTTCAACATCAGTCATCCATCTTAACCCAGCACATAAATGCCACTAACAATAGTGGTGTATTCTACTGTTATCTCCATCATCTGAGGCATCTGCATCTTTTTTTTCCTTTAGAAGTTGCTTTTTGTCATATTGAATCCTGGTCCCATGTCATTTCCTGCAGTGTTTGGCTCTTAATCAAAATGTGGGTGTTAAGTAGCTGTGTAGCTGTTCCTCATCATAATGTACATGTTGTGTTTGTCAATTAAGTCTTCATTTTAACAGCCATCTTTGCTTGTAACAAGCAGCTTACCACTCTTACGTCCATCTTAAGTCTTATTCATCACCAGATCCTCTCATCCACATTGCTGCCCTGAACCTCTCACCGTTGCAATGACAACGAATTCTTATCAAAGAGAAGAAAAATTGATGTACTTTTTAGGTGTTAGTGAACATTCTGGTGGTGTAACAGTATTAGGAGTCAGTTCAAGGGGGAAATGTTGGAGCTCAATCTCAGACCAAACCTGGTCGATCTTCTTGCTTGTCTTTGCAATGAACTATCCCATAACTCCATGCTAACCCACACTGATGTAAAATTCTGTTATGAGAAGAAGTATTGAAACCATCAACCACTGAAAACCTTTCTCTGTGTACATCACAATGCTTATAGCTACATCACCAAGGCTCTCTTCCGACCAAGAACAGAAGTCCACTGAAGAGGCTTGTCCTGTTGAAGTTGACTGGATGTCCTCAAAATGCAGTTCTGGCACCTTCTGTGGCAATAGAGGAGACACACATACCGATGAAGAACATTCCAGGCCTATGCCAACATATGAATATATGGCTGACCAGACTACAACTAAACCGACAAAGGAGCTCTCTGACAATCAACAAACAACAAATGCCCAATCCCCAGTTTACAGTAACTCTGTAAAGCCAACAGTAATACAATCTGACACACAACATCGCACTAACAAGCCCACAGAATCACAAGGTGAAGAATTAATTTACTATCTTCAGCATGAAAAAGCCCCACCTGAAGAGCTTGATAATTCCCTGCAGACAGATGAGTTCTGTACTTTTCTTCAAACTGCAGCTTTTGAATCAGACGAATCTGCTCTCAAGACTCTAATGGCCCAATCAGAAAAGCTAAGAAACTCACTACAGATGCCAACTGTCCAGTCAGAGCTAGATAATCCACTACATACTTTAACTGCCCAGTCACAACACCTTAATAACCACTTACAGATTTCAACAGTCAAATCAAACAAGTTCTGTAACTCCTTAAAAACTGCATCTCTGCAGTCACGGGACCCTTTTAAATCCTCACACACTGCAACTGTCCAATCAGACGTGTCATTTAAAGCTACACATACTACATCTGTCCAATCAGAAAAGCCCTTTAATTTTTCACATACTGCAATTGTCCAATCAGAGGAGCTCTGTAGCTCCATACCGATGCCAGCTGTCCTGTCAAAGAAACCTCTTGATTGCTTACAAACGGAAACTTTCCGTTCAGAGGGGCCCTGTGACTCCTTCAGGATTGCAACTGCCCAATCAGAGGAGCCCTTTAACGCCTCACAAACAGAAACTGTCCAATCAGAGGAGCCCTTTACATTTTCTCATACTGCAACTGTCCATTCAGAGAAGCTCTGTAGCTCCATACCGATGCCGGCTGTCCTGTCAAAAAAACTTTTGGATTGCTTACAAACAGAAACTTTCCATTCAGAGGGGCCCTGTAACTCCTTCGGGATTGGAACAGCCCAATCAGAGGAGCCCTCTAAATCCTCACAAACGTCAACCGTCAAATCAGGTGAGCCCTTTAAATCTTCACATTCTGAGACTGTCCAATCAGAAGAGCCCTTTAAAGCTGTACAGGCAGCAACTCTCCAATCAGTAGAGCCTTTTAAATCTTTAAAAACTGCAATTGTCCAATCAGAGGAGCTCTGCAGCTCCACACAGATGCCAGCTGTCCTGTCAGAGGAGCGTCTTGATTGCTTACAAACTGAAATTGTCCATTCAGAGGGGTCCTGTAACTCCTTATGGGCTGCAACTGACCAATCAGTGGAGTTTAACAGAAACCAACAGACATCAACTGCCCATTCAGAGAAGCTCAGTGACTTACGTAACACTGTATACCCTCAATCATTGGACTCTAAAGACACAGGAATGGTGCAACCAAGAAAGCACTACAACTTGCGACAGTTGCTGCATGCTAGAGTGGATGACGTCTATCACACAGGACAGACAGTACATCACCAGGCAGAACTGCTGTCTCAGTCCAAGCAGGCCAAACCAGGCCATGCAGAGTGTCACCACACCATGAAGGCATCAGAAGACCAATTAGACAGCACAGTTAACACTGGGCAAAGATCCTCTACCCAGTGTGCAGAGCCTCACTATATCAAGCAGGCTTCTACTGTCCAATCAGAAGATATCTATCTATCACGGACATGTGACAGTCACTGGAGTGACAGTGTCACTGCAAATAAGGTGGCTGTTGAAGGTGATTTAAACCATTATCAAGCAAAAAATGGACGGGCACAATGTTGACATTGTGTAAAATGAAGAGATTGCTTATTGCGATCCTTAACATTTTGACAATTTCTACATTTACTTTATTTTTTTCATACTAAAACTACTTTAATAGTCAGTGTAAAAGTTTGAGCTTGGGTGGTCTGTGAGGAATATTAAAGATAGGGAAAAGAGTAAATACATTATCTTCAAATCCTAACTTGAATGCCTAGTTATCTCAAGTCTAACCAAAGATACCTCTTGTTAGATTACTAATAACATGAAGACGTGTCTTTTATAATTACTGATTTTAACTCTAAGATTTATTGGCATGACTAATCTTGATTTGACATTTTGCTCTTCTGTTTGAAAGATCAATTTTGTTGTAGTCCGTAATAGTGATGCAATTTTCTCTTGATGTTACCTCAAGCATCCCCAGCTCCACCTGTGAGAATTACAACACTTTGTGAGGCTGAGAGGAACAACGCTGTTGAAGTTGATGAGCCAATAGTGCTGAGATGTGAGATATCAGATCCTAACGCTCAAGTTAATTGGTACAAGGACGGAATAAATCTACGGGAAGCAGCTGGGCAAGACATGCTGGCAGAGGGTTCCATAAGAACACTGGCTTTCCAGTCAGCGATGCCGTCTCATGCAGGGATTTACAGCTGCAATACAACGGATGATGCAATGCAGTTTCATGTGGATGTTGAAGGTGACATAAGCTCTTCTCATCTGTTCTGCAAATACATTTTAGTCAGGGACAAGTGCATCCAAACACTTGCTTTGCTTATGAAAAAGAAAGTTCTCATTATTACTCTGGATGTTTACAACCGACCTCTTCCAACAACAATTAAAGACACTGCCACAGAGTTTAAAACATAAAATCTTCATTTGCTCCCTTTAGCAGTATTTGGATGCAACTGTAAAGTTAGCATATCTGTACAGACTAAGGGCCTGAGTGTGTTTTTTTAGGTTGTGTTGCCCCACAAGTGTTTCTTGCAGTTTGTAGGTCACAAAGTATTTAAAACTTTAGTTTCTAAACGTCAGGCACCAAGTCTCACACACCGTCAATGTCACACTTTGCCAAGGCAGCCAATCAAACCAAGCAAGACACAGGGTTTACTTCTTTACCACTTCATTCCTCTTTTGATGCTGGTAGATGTGGTAGGGCCTGCTAGCTAGTTAGCTGTTGGCCTGTGAGAGAGCTACAATATATGTGAGAGTGAAGGGGGGGATTCATATCTCATGTTGCAATAATTTGGTGTAGGCTAAAGCAAGCGAAGGAACGCGTTTTCCGTAATCACATACGATTGGTTGCGTTATCACAGGTGCACAACGCCATTAGGCCTGACCTGCTTAACCAAGATGTTTTTAAAGCGGACGCGCCTATATCAGCCCCTAAAAATATCTTAGCTACTTTTTTGTGCAGCTTGCAAACCAACAACACAGTGTATGAGTGTTATAATTACTTTGTTACAATAGAAATAGCTTTAGTGTCCATATAAGTTGTAAAAGATGGCAGAATCTCTGCTCTCTTGCTCCATTCTACCTCTATATCAAATGTCCCTTAGATAGAGTAAGCCCCTCATTAAAACCTACCTAGTTATGACATTATAAATCAAAGTAATCACTTAGTCATGGTAAAACCTTACCTGAGACAGTGTAGCTCCATCTGCTTCTCTTTTTCTATGTCTGAGCGTAGCTGGTAATCTAGCTCGCAAGGTCGTTCATGTAAAGTGCTTACTTACACTTTTACATTTAGCATAAAGCTCTATATGTCTTTTTTTCGGAAGGTGTTTGAGCGCTTTACAAATGTTGGTTTGTAGTTTGTACTTTAAATAAGAGATGAGGCCTGAGCGTTCTATGGCGCATGATTGGCATATGTCAGTGGATCAAACATGTCCTGAAGATACAGTACCCCTCTCTTTAAGGCTCAATTTCCTAAAATCTCTACCAGAATAGACAGTAGAAGCAAACTGTTTTGGTACAGTCAGATGAGCTGTTGATGCTAACTTTTTGGAGGTTTTCAGTTAGCTCAAGATAAAATTAGAACAGGTTAAATGGGTTATTTGAAAGCTACCTATTTTTCAATACATACTAAATCAAAATTGTTGGGTAGGATGAAAGATTTGCATGCATTTATATTGGTTGAATGTGCTGCTGAAGCCTTTAGCGTCAGGGTTGTGCTTTGCTTCCTTTGGTTAATAACAATATCTGTTTTATTGACCAATTCTATTTTACATTCGATCCTGTAGCTCCACTTCTGAAGTTTTCAGCTTTATCTGAGGGTGACCAGCAAAAGACGGTCATGGCAGGCTTTCCCATTGCTCTACAATGTAAGCTGTCAGAACCCACGGGACAGGTCAGCTGGTACAAGGATGGAACAAAGCTCCTCCCTCAAAACCGAGTGGACATCCAGTCAGAAGGAAGTTTGAGGAGTCTAGTTGTCCCATCGGCAGAGCAGGCTCACAGTGGCGTATACCGTTGTGAGTCAAAGGATGATGACATCCAGTTTGCTGTGGAAGTAAAAGGTGATGCTCAAAAACTCTGTTGTGCTTTCACTGTCTTGCACGGCGAACTAACTGTAACAGCAGGTGATTACGTCAAGTCTATCTAATCACCAGACAGACATTTTTCTGCTTTCTTAATTTGGTCAACTATTTTTCTCAAAAAGCAAAGCAAAAGATTGCCTCTGAAACAGTTAAATCTGTTGTTAATTTTGTTATCGCATGATCGGTTACGTCTGTCTAAAGAAAAACAACTCCCTGTCACACGTCATCATAGTGCCCATTGTTAACTAAGTGAAATCAGATAACAAAGGACGTCTTCTTTTATAATGGCTTATTAAATCGTGCAGCTTCACAATGCATCTTCTTCTCATGCATGTCCAATATCTTAAGAAAGCTAACGTTTTGTGTCTTGCTCTTTTTCATTAAAGACACTAACTGGATACTTTATTATAAACAAATATTTTGGCACTTTCTTGTTTGTATCTTACATGTGGTTTTCGTCATGTGCTTTTTATCCAACTGTACAATGTTGTGTTTTACTTATTGTCCTTGTTAAGCAGGTTGTGTTTATGTTGTATGTTATGTTGTTTTCTCTTGAAATTCTTTATTTAATATACAGTAGGTTGGATATTGAATTACTTCAAGAAAATCACATTTATAGAGTATATTAAGACACTCTTTTTGCAATATCTGAAACATACAGCTCTACCTGTGAAGTTCTCAGAGCTTCAAGAGAGTGACAAGAGCAAGTCTGTCCAAGAAGGTTCTCCAATTGTCCTCAGCTGTGAACTCTCTCACGATCGTTCTGCTTATGTCGACTGGTACAAGGATGGGTTGAAGCTCCTACCGCAAAACAATGTGGAAATACAGTCAGACGGTCTTACAAGGACACTACTCATCCACTCAGCTGAAAACAAAGATGGTGGCACCTATGAATGTTCAACATCAGATGATACCATCACATTTAAATTGGACGTAGAAGGTGATTCAATTCCATCCTTACCATCTTCTTATCAAACATACCACGTCCATCTTACGCTATGATTTGAGTGGTGAACAAAATTTGCTTTGTGTTGAATGTTCATGAGAACATGGTATGGCTGGCTGGACAGTGTGTTTTGTCTACTGTTGTGAATTCATCTGTTCTCCAAAACACTTGTTATGTCGTTCTCTTAGGCCGATTGCCACAGATCATGCCAATCCCACTGTCTGAAAAGTACAAGATGGTTGCAATGGGTTGTCCAATTATCCTACAGTGCGAGGTCTCAGACCCGGTCGCCCAGGTTTCCTGGTTTAAAGATGAGGTGGAGCTCTTTAGCAAAACTGGCCTCGATATGAAAAGAGATGGAAGCCTGCGAAAACTAATGATCCATTCTGCTAAGGTCTCCGACTCTGGCCTCTACAGTTGTAGCCTCGCTGATGATGTTGTGACATTCCATGTCGACGTCGAAGGTGATTTTCTTGTTTTCAGTGTTAATTAGCTTCCAGGTGTGATATGAATATTTCCTTGGTTACCCTTAACCCATTCTTTTCCACAATTTCAGCTAGATTAATTTAGTTTTTTGTAACAGTGTCTGAAAGCACAGAGCTGCATACTGTATATACTATGCTAGAATAACCAACAAGGTTGATGATGAACACTACATTTTAAATGATGTTCTGACAGCTTAACAATAGATATACAAATCTTATAACACCCTCCAGCCTCACCTGTGAGGTTTTCAGCACTTCCAGAGATCGCAAGAAACAAATTTGTGGAGGCAAGCTGCCCAATAAAGCTGCAGTGTGAAGTCTCAGAGCAAACTGCCCAGGTCTATTGGCACAAGGATGGAGAACAGCTACTTCCAAAGTGTCAATATGAACTCCAAGCAAAAGAAAAACTGAGACCATTGGTTATTACATCAGCAGAAGTCAGACACTCTGGTGTGTACAGCTGTGATGCCGCAGACGACCATATAGAATACAAGGTGGATGTTGCAGGTGATCCAATATTTTTGAGCTTTGTCAGAATCACTAACTTATTTCAGCACTTGGCTACTAGACCAACCGATTTTATAGCGTATATTCTAAGATGAGGTGCACTGATAAGTATGTACTTTCAATATTGCTTCTTGTTTGTTAAAGCCGTGGCAGGTATATAGATCAATGTCATTCTTGCCCTAACAAGCAAATGCTTCAAGGCCCTTTAAGACTGGACTTTAAGAGCATGGTGGTAAAACTGTATCTTAAAACTACACAAATCAAAAATTATATAGACAATGGATTAAATTACTATGTTTAATGTGAAAGGGGTCTCTCAAAATAACAGACCACAGCAAGTTACCACCTTACTCTGCAATTTCCCCAAATTCCACAGAGCATTGTAGTGCTTTTAAACACATTGTTTTGGTTTTACAAGAAGCAGCTTTAAGGTTTGGTTCAGACTTGCTGCTCTCATCAACCCCGTTTCCAGATGCAGTACACTATAATTTTACACTATAAAAGCTCTGATAAATAGACTGTACAGCAAATAGAGCACAGTGTATGCTATTTGGCCAGCATGTTGAGACTGACAAAGTTAGCAACTAGCTAACTATGGTGAAACTTGTGGAGCATTTAGCAGCTAAAAAGAGTTTAACTGCTCAGTCCAGTAGTAATGGTTGAGGCCTACATGACTCCTTTTGCTGGCACACTGTTTGCATTTGAGTCCATGATTGTTTGCAACTGTTGTCACCGTCACCCTGTGTAGGCAAAAACGTTATCATTCCAAACAATTTAAAAACCCATCTGTTCAATCTTGAGTAAAACAGTACATCTTACAGCCTTTAGCCTGTAAATCCAAGTGTTACATGGCATAGCAAATCTGATTACTGTTCCATGAATTGAAATTCCTATAGCCCCAGTTTGATTCTCAGCTGTTACAGAGGCTGAGAGGAGCAAATCTGTTGAAGCAGGCAGTCTGATCAATCTGAAGTGTGAGATCGCAGACCACACAGGCCACACCTCCGGGTGCGAGGACGGAATAAAACTCTCGCAAAAATTGGGAACAAACATCGATTCAGAGGGCAATAAGAGGACACTGGCTATGAAGTCGGCCACGTCTTCAAGCTCTGGAGTGTACAGTTGTAAAACCAATGATGATTCAGATTTCAACGATTTCTATGTGGAGGTGAAAGGTGATATGCTAAGCTTTTTCTTGGCAAGATGTGTCCATTGTGGAGTCTTACACCTTCATCATGACCTCTAATATCCAAGAAGGAAGCGAAACCTGATCATCATCATATTCATCATAGCTGACTTCAAATTTGTCCTAATTTTGTCGCTTCTCATATACGTGCTTCACATTTCATGGCATGTATTTTCATGAGTCAACTAGTTTTTCCAACACACCTATGGTAACTGCATTAAGTCAATGCACTGCTTAATTTAATTCTTTCACTTAGCTTCAGAGATCATTATAATATCTTTAAGGAGTTGTGTTCCAGATGGCAAGGCTTGCAATCAGCATGTCTAAGCTGTGAAAACCTGATCTCACAATTACTGCATGCATAATCATAAACTATGAACAGTACATTAGAGCAACAACTTACTTCTTTTGTGTACCGTTTTCTGCAGCGCCACCGGTAACATTTGCAGATACCCGAGAGGAGGACCTTTTCAAGAGTGTTGCGGAACGAGAACAGTTTGTTCTGTCTTGTGAAGTATCACGGGCTGACGGCATTGTCCAGTGGTACAAAGATGGAACTGAAATGCAACCATGCAACAATATCACAATGCAAGCAGAGGGCACCAAAAGGAATCTGACAGTAGACTCAGCCCAACTGTCCAACACAGGCACATACACATGCCGTGCAGGAGACAATATTCTCATGTACAAAGTTAACATACGAGGTAATGAAATAGTTGTGAAAATCCTCACAATATGAAAAAATCACATACATCCACTCACAGAGAACAATGTCTCAATTCCATGTATTCTTCTTCCAAAAGAACCTCCGGTGTTGATAATCTACCCCAAGGAGGATGTCCACCTTGACCGTCATGTCCCCGAGGAAATTATTCTGAGCTGTGAATTGTCTCGTCCAAATGGTCTCGCCAGCTGGTTCAAAGATGGTCAAAAGCTGCAGGAGAGCGAGAACATCAAGCTCAAGATTGAAGGCCCTTATCGACGACTGAAGATTGTTTCCAGTGGAGTGGAAGATTCTGGAGAATACGTCTGTGATACAGCCGACACTTCAATATTCTTTCACCTTAGTATTACAGGTAAAATCTCTGATACTACATACAGTAATAATGCACATACATATAAATATGTATCACAGCAAAACAATAACAGATAACAGCGCAATGAGTAGATTGTGGTATATAAGGCATCAGTATGCTTCAAACAAACACGTTTCTGCAGTCTCATCGGAGCATGTATAAAGACAAAAGTGTATCTGCTCTGAATCGCCACATTGAAGATTGGTTAAAACGTCTGCCATCATAGAAAAGGATAAAATGCTGTGAATTGTGCAAATAGGGATAACAGCCAACCAACCAACACATAATTGCGGACAGTCTCTCCTCAAGGGCATTTTTGTTTTAAACTGACAGAAGGGGGCATGCTTTTTATCAGTTTTGGAAAGAAAATTGTCCGCAGCAGACCCACCAATTTTAACATTCCAAAGGTGGGGAGAAGGTTTCAGACGCTATTCAATGATCTGACAACAAGCACTTAGTTTGAAACATAAACGCCTTTAATATTGCTTAAGTTAGGGGTTAACTCATTCATCCATGATCCAAGATGTCAAGTATGTAAAGTCAGTCCTGCAGGTAATATATGCATCCACTTGACACCTAGGAAACAATGCTATTCTATTGTAGTATACATCAGCCTAATGAGTGGTGACTAAATCGGGTGATAACGCCCCTTTTCAGAACCTCCAGTGCAGATTGTGTCCCCAAGTCAGTCCCAAATGGAGCTGTGCCAACAGGCCTCTGAGAGGATGGTACTGAGCTGTGAGATCTCCAGGCCCAATGCAGTGGTGCGCTGGTATCGAGACGGACTCGAAGTGGAGGAGAATGGGAACCTTATCCTAGAGGTGGATGGCGTCTACAGAAGACTTATTATACCGGAAACTACTGTCAAAGATTCCGCCGAATACGTCTGCGATACCGCAGATGACTCCATGACATTCTTTGTAAACATAGCAGGTAAGGGACACTAAGGAATGGAAAAAAGTAGATCCTCTAAATGTGTTGCTCTGTCGGTGTTAGTCCATTTCTAACACAACATTTTCTAAACGCACAGAGCCTCCTGTTCGTTTTGTACGTCTAAGGAAGATGGCAGGCAGAGTAGACAAAGTGGCCGGGGACACTCTTGTTCTAGACTGCGAGGTTTCAAGATCGAATGCAGAGGTCACCTGGAAGAAGAACGGGGAGGAAGTAGAAGACTCCAGAAATATCACCATCCTTGAGGATGGCGTCATGCGTCAATTAACTGTTCACTCACTAACAATGGAAGATGCTGGGCAATATGTCTGCGATGCAAAGGATGATGTGATGGATTTCCATGTAAAAGTACAAGGTAGGTTATTGTACTTAAAAGATAGAACTCCCGAAAGATGAGTTCTGTATGTGGTGCACTCAAGATCCAGACTTTAAACCAGATCATTAACTTCATCCAAATACTTAGAGAATAACTACTGAGCACAAGTAAAACAAAATATCAGTGCTTTGCACTATGGATTATGCATAGAAAGGATTTTCTGATCCAATAAAAATATGTTCTTTCTTGTTCATTTTCAGAGCTGCCTGTGAAGATTCTTGGAAAAACAGACGCAAAAACAGAAAAGCAGTTCTTAGTATCAGATGACATTATTCTAGTGTGTGAACTGTCGAGATCCAATGCCTCAGTCAGTTGGTACAAAGACAATCAGCTAATTGATGACACTGAGCGATACTGTAGCGAAGAGCAAGGCGTCTTCAGATCACTGGTCGTCCTAAATGCTGGGCTAGAGGATTCAGGAGAGTACACCTGTGATGCTGTGGATGATAAGATGGTCTTCTACATCACCGTCAAAGGTATTATCAGGTCTGTGTAAATGTTATCCATCTTTCCTTCACTCGGAAGGAAAATAATGCACAGTATTTTATCTTCAGAGCCTCAAGTACAGATCATTGGAAACTCCGGCCACCCGGAGCATCACATCCTGGTGGCAGGAGATGACCTTATTTTGGAGTGTGAGGTGTCTCGGCCGAACGCCACCGTTCAGTGGTTATGGAATGGCGAGGTCTTGAAACCAGACACTCGTATAAAGATCAACAGCTATGAGCTTGTGAGGAAGCTTGTTGTCTCTGGACTTCGGCCCTCAGACTCCGGAAAATACATTTGTGATGCCATCGATGACAAACTGACAACAATTGTTGAGGTCCAAGGTAAGATTTAAATGACTTTGAAACATTTTTTAGATCAATTTCTGTAGTTTCCGTTTGAGTAACGTATTGTTCCATATTTGAACACAGAATTAACAAGTAACTTCTCTATAAATCTCCCTCTCAGAGTCCACGGTCAAGTTCGAAAATAAAAAAACGAGCAACAACCTCTCAGCCTATGAAAATGAGAGTGTTACAATGTGCACCATTGTGAGCCGAGAAAGAGCGAACATTCGTTGGCTGAAAGATGGCCAACTATTGAACGGGGACAACATTCACATCTCCAGTGAGGGTAATACCCACAAGCTCACCATTAATCCCCTGCAGCTGTCAGATTCTGGAGAATATGTCTGTGACGTCAAGACAGACGAGATGTATTTCAGTCTTTTAGTCAAAGGTAAGAATGTGGCAATCAAACTAAATGTGACAGCAATTTCCACAAAGCTAACATCTCTGACATCATATTTCTTCATTCTACTCATCAGAAATGAAGGCGAAATTCATCAGACCACTGGAGAACATTGTGTCTCTGAAGGGCAGTAGCCTTATATTACGATGCGAGATCAACAAGCCCAAAGGAGATGTCCAGTGGCTAAAAGATGGGCAAGAGATCTCTCCAAGCCGTCAGCACACAATAAGGGCACAAGGCCGAGAGCGAAGCTTCACCATCCACCAACTAGTGGAAGAAGATGCTGGAGAATACGCCTGTGAATCCACAGATGACAGGACTTCAGCTTCTGTCACTGTAGAAAGTAAGTCAATTCAAATCACACATTAAGGCAGGTCAGAGGAAAAAAAACATGTCTTATAAATGAAAGTTTAAACCACTCCATGTGTCATTTCAATGTTTCGATCGCAATGAGTCTAATTCAGCTAAATGCTTTGCCTTCAGCTCTCCGTGTTGTCGAGTTCATAGCGGACCTTCGTAACATCACCGTCTGTGAAGGAGAAGATGCGGTGTTTAAGTGTGTGGTTTCACCAGAGGACACCCGGTTGGTGTGGCGCTTAAACGGCAAGCAAGTAGCTCTGACCAAGCGTACGGTCATTTCAAGTAACGGGCTATGCCACATGCTCTACATCCACAACTGCATGGTTTCAGATAGCGGCAGAGTGACAGCTGATGCAGAGGGTTCGGTGTCAGAGGCAGAACTCCAGATTCAAGGTGAGTTATTGTCCGATCCAGTCACACTATAATTATAGTACAACAAACGCACACACACACACATATACATAGGTCTTAATGAAACACAGAAGTGACAACATTTAATGACGATTTACAGTTCAATAACCTCATATATCTCTGGTACCATATTACCATATTTTTAACTATGAACAGTTTTGAGCAGCACTGGAGTGATGTAAACATATGTACTTGTAATGGCTGTTACTGTGTATGATAAATAACCATCTGTGACACATAGTGACCCTTTGAGACAAGTTTAAACTTTTAAAGAGGTGCCTTTGAAGGCTAGCTTTTAGTAGCTTCTCCTGTTATAACTCCTCTGGCTCCCTCAAGCTTTTTGCTTGCACTATGTGCTGAAACTTGCAATATTACTCTGCAGATTTTTCTTTGGTCTATATTGTATTTTTGCTTTGTCTTGGAGTGGCTTCAGAGTATTGTTGTGTAGAATTAACAAAGAATTTATACACATACTGTTATAATATAAAAGTACCAAAATCGCCGACATGACAGATGCTGCCATCTTGTATTTCCCTAAATGAATTTTCAGAACAACAGGTGTTTTTCACCAACAAAATGACACCAGTTGAGGCTGAAGAGTACAGTGAGGCAACTCTAGAGGTGGAGGTGAGTCTGGATTCGGGAGAGGTGCAGTGGATGAGGCAGGGGGTACTGATCCACCCTGGGGCCAAGAATACCCTGAAACACAACGGTCGAAAACACAGTCTCACCATCCACAAACTGGCCATGTCTGACCGCGGCACCTACAGCTGTGAGACCCTCCATGACCGCACGCAAGCCCAGCTCACAGTGGAACGTGAGTGTGCATGTGTTGTCACTATTCCCTGTTGTTTGTTTACCGCCGTTGCCGACGACTCCACCTCCTGCACACCCTCCACCGCTACTTCTTGTGAAGGCAAAGTCAACTGAGTAAGAGTAATTTGAGTGACTGGAGACGAGGGTGGCACTTGTACAGGAGCATGATGGCAGCCAACAGGTGACAGCCCTAAAGCCCAGGCTGACTTTCAGACCCGGGTATGTGTATTGACAGGAACGATCAAGCCCCCATGATTTCCTAACCAAAGGGAAATCAGATCGCAGTTTTAAGGGAAGTGCTTGATAAACAACATGTTAAGATGCCACCGTTCCAACAACTAGAATTATCTTTAGCAAACAAAGTAACATTTTCCTATGAACCAGCACCACTTACATGTATTTATAGTAGCGAGCCTTACACACCATAAAACCGGCATCTTGTAGTGATTAAGATGTACTTGTGCTTGTTTTTCTTTGTGCATGCGTCTTATATTTCTTAGCCCCATGAACCACAGGCCAGTGGGTGAATTAAAGGCTGTTCTTTCAACACTAGCGTGGGTAGTAGGAATGGGAAAGTCAGGACTTCAGGCTGCTGTTGGCACCTCCTATGAATTTGGATCTCCTCTCATTGCATCTAAATTTACACCCTGGCCTTCAAAACTAAGGTTGCTGTCATCAGATCTCCAAAATAAACACTCCTTTTTTCCACAGGGAATGCTCGACTGTTAGAATAAGTGAAAAATGTTGGCAGTTTCTAAGCTGGCTTTTGTGTTAGGCCCCATACTCAAATGACTAAACTATTGGCTTGTCATTGTGTGCCCGCTTGTATTGTTTAACTGCAGACTGATGTGTACAGCACAGACTCCGAGCCTATTCTGTAACAGAAAATGGACATTGTTTTCTGCTCAGTGTTAAAGTGGAATGAACGAGCTTGTTACTAAGGCCAATCTTTCAAACATAACCTCTGTTGTAACCAATATTCAGTTTTCATTATACCGAAATGTACCAACACGAAAAAACGGCCACAATAGAGAGCAATAAATGTACCTGCAGAGTACTGCGATGCCTTTCACACAACTCTATTATTTTCTTTACAGCTCGGAAAATCACAATCAAAAGAAGGCTGACTGACATTAAAATCACAGAGCGAGAAACGGCATCTTTTGAGGTGGAGCTCTCCCATCCCAATGTTCCAGGCACCTGGATGAGAAACGCAATCAAGCTTAAGGCAACGAATCACTTCCGTATGAGCGCCAAGGGACAAGTCCACAGCCTCACCATCTCTAACCTATCAGTAGAAGACACTGGCTCCTTTACCTTCTGTGTGGAGAATTTGAAGACATCTGCAAGGCTCGTTGTGAAGGGTAGGTCATTTAGATGTTTGGTTTCACAGTAGTAGCAATATAACTGCATCAATCTATGTGTTTAATTCAAATGAGTAACTAGTACACGTAATTTTGAGGTTAAAAGGCCGTAGTGTTGTCAAAACTATACTAAAAGGTCTAATTTGTAACTTTTCAATGCCACAATCCATGTGAACTACACTGCACTACTACCAAAATAATATGTAAAATTAAAAAAAAAAGTAGACCAGATGCCAACCAGTTGATGCATGATAACAGAATAGAGTGACGGCTCTACTTTTGTTGGCTTTATCCCTGCTCACGTTACAAAGGAGCATGCAAGTAGCCTAGCATGACCAAATGAAAAGTGGTAGCTCTGTTCACTCTTGTCTGTCAGGTGCTGGTTTAACCTCATGCTGTAAAATAATCCGCTACATGCCAAGTCCCTATGCATCATGCCTTTGAGCTCGGGGTTGAAACGCTGGTGACGACAATAGGATGAAAGTGTCATTGCAGTAAATTAGTCCACATAACTGACCCGTATAGCTTATTTGATTTTGAGCAGCAACACGTAGGCCCTATACTTTGGTGCATTGTTTTTGGGGACATTTTAAAATGTTTTTGCTTGCCTATCTAAGGTTGCCTTTTCTCCACCAGAGCCCCCATTGACCATTTTCAGAAAACTGGAGGATCAGAAATTCCCTGAAGGGGCAGTAATCTCTCTGGAGTGTGAGCTATCAAGACACAACGTTGATGTGAAATGGATGAAGGCAAGTGTTGGATTTTTGTCCATTACCAAAAACATTTAGGATTTTCTTTACAAAACTTCAGAGCCAAATCAATCTATGATAAAGTTAGACATGTTATGACTTTAAAAAATGAAAAAAAAATGCATATCCAAAGCTTATCATACCTTATTGGCGATACTGTAGCTCCAAAAACATGCCGTGAATAAGAGCAACAAAGAAAAGAAATCAACATATTAATATATTTTCTGATCTGATAATTAGTCCCTTTTTAAACTACAGTCAACACAATACATAACTAAATCACACATAAAATGCAACTACAACTATTCCAATTCAAGCATGCCACATATACTGTGGTTACTGCAATACACTTCCATAGGAGAGCACTTCTTCAGACTTCAGATAAGCTTAGCAAAGTCAAGGAATGCTAGTTTTGCTTGTTAACATGACTGAAATTACAGTACATTGAGCCAACGCATCCTTGCTAGCTTACACACACACACACACACACTCACTTTCCAATTAAGCAAAAATGACAAACATGCATCGTTTTCTCTTACCGGCATTACTCTTTCAAAATAAAAGCACCGGCCCATATAATGTAGCCAATGGTACAAGATTGACACAGCCTTAAGAAAACACCAAGCCTAAGGTTTACACGTTTTTACAAGATTACAAGTATGCTGGATCATTTACACAAAGCGCTTAATAATCTTGATGGACACCTTAAATATCACAAGCTAGAGAAACTCTCTGAACAGCCAAAATCTTGAAAAATAAATAAATAAGCGTTTGAAATTTTTTGTTCCAAATTTTAAAATAAAATGTGTTTAACTTTGTGTTTATCAATATATAGAACAATTCAATTAAAAAAAAATATATTTTTAAATATTTCATTCGATAAGAATGCATCAGATACAGTTTCAGTGGTTTGATGATGATTAATATTTAAATTAGAGGTTTTATTTTATCCTTTTCAGAATGGGGTCGAGGTAAAGCGAGGCAAGGACTTGCGCATATATTCAATGGGAAGGAAACGGTTTCTTCAGATCCTGAAATGTAATGTCAGTGATTCTGGCATTTACACCTGCGATGCTGGAGATGTTACAACAAGCTGCACTGTGGAGGTGTACGGTAAAGTCTGCTGTCCAAACACTATAAACTACAAACGAGGAGCTTTAGTTTCATAGTGGTCGGCAGAAGATGTGTAATATTTCTCAACAGAACTACGTACATAAAAAAAGATGTACAATGTGGTAAAGTACTAAAACAATGAAGGCCTACGACAAACCACCAGACTTGACACACACTGTAGCAATGTTATGAGCAATGGTGTCAGACACATTACTCGTTAAACTAGCAGACATAGAGGTGTTCGCCGAGTAAACTACTGTATGTTTAGTTTATTTTACATCACTTTGTCAGTAATGTGGCTTACTTCATGTGTTGTCAGTTACTTACAAATGACACAATTGCTTTCTTCATTCCCTCACAAACCTTTTAACATATAGCATGCATGAGCTATTCTAGCTCATCAGCGATGCAGTTGCTGGTGACTCAGAAATTTGAAATTAGACTCAATCTCAAATCTACACAGATACACATTTGCGGTAAAATAACACTTAAGATAAATCTCATAAAACAGGGAAATGAAGAACAGAGACCGGCAGACATTTTGACGTTCCATAACAGTAAAATCAATGGTGTAATTATTAAAATAAATAATGAATGGATTCACTTTAGCATTGCTTGTATCCTGCATGACATTGCACTTTGATGCTGCTGTGAAAAAGTACTATGAAAGAGTGCTTTCAGGCAATTCACAGTAGCTAGATAAATTCACAGAATGGCAACACTTCCAGTGGAGTTAGTTTAGTAATGCCAGGTTGGATAATGGTAACAGTTACCATGTACTCACAAGGCCAGATAAGTCCTGTCATCTTCGTTGAGGTTAACCGCTGTTAGCCACTTCTTTGTTAGCTGCTAGAACTTCTCTTAATGTTAGAGATTTAATTATTTCCCCTGGACAACTGTTATATCCATTTGGCCAACAGTTAACTTTTTGTTTTTATACATTCATCAGTAAATCAAATAAATAATCTGATAACCCCCATAACTAGGTAGGCTGCTAGCTTGAGAAGTGTAAAATATGGCAGACATTCGTTTCAGGTTTGGGTCACTCACACAGTTGATTTCAGCTATGGCTGATTAGACTTTTTCTCAAGATTATGTGGGCGTGTACATATTAAACTTGATTGACATCTCTCTCTCTCTCGCTCTCTCTCTCTCTCTCTCCTGAAGACTGAACCTGTTAGGGTGGGACGAATAATGCTTTTATCCTTCTTATTGGTACATGGAGTTCGGTGACCTCAGCAAAGCTCCACCTACAACCTCAGCAGAGGTCTAATTAGCCAAAGTAATTGAAAACACCTGTGTGGGTGTGTTAGGTTTTACAGTCGTGCTGCTGGACAAATGTGTAATTGCTCAAAGCTTGTATAGCAAAACTGCACTCAGGTGGACAGTTGGAAGCCAATAGAATAATGTACATAAATCCAATATTACTAGCACAAAACACATACATCACAAAGTACTGTGTTTGAGTAGAAATTCATTGTAAGGATATTTAATATAATTAGGTAATTTTCTCACCACGAACTCATGTAAAATATTTTTTTCTCTCGTTACTATTAATGAACGTATCAGTTGTATTGGTATTGTTCCTTCCTGCTTCGTCTTCTTACGAAAAAGAAGCTTAGTGATTATTGTGGATGTCATATTTTTCTCTTTGCTTTTTTAAAAAAAAAACTTTGATACTGTTAAGAGGTGCCCATTTCAGTCCTAAATACCCCTTTATGTTTATTCTCGTTATTCTCGTTATTCTCGTTTATTCTATCAGAGCGCGAGCTGCTGATCCTGCAGGGCCCGAAGGGCTTGGACATCCAGGAGGACCAGAACGCGGTGTTTGTTTGTGAGCTCTCCGTGGAGAACATGCCAGGAGAGTGGTACAAAAACGGGGAGAGGATACAACCCACCAGCACCATCAAGATCCGGCAGGAAGGTCGGCTTCAAAATCACGAACGCGCAATTCATAATTCCTGCACAACTGATGATGTTGTGCTTATCGACTGTAAAAGAGATACTCAATAAGAAAATGTACTAGAACACCTAAAAAGGAGACATTTGTAAATCTGTAAATAACATCTGGAATTGCATATTTGTTTTGGGGCCAATACGATTGAGCCGACTATCGTTTTGCTTATTATTTATCCTGACAATTGTATTCTTATTTTAGGCACCAAACATTTTCTCCTCATGTGCAATGTGAAGGCAGAGGACTCTGGAGAGATCAAGTTTGTCTCCAGACATATTGAATCTGTCGCTTACCTGGAGGTGGAAGGTATAATGAATGTATATGTTTCTAAGTGCTCCAAAAAAAAGTATGTATACTTTTTATGAAAATGAATAATAGCGTGCATAAAGTTACTTCTATTAAATATTCATCAATTTATTAGGGTTGACAAATGTTTGGAGACCCAACTCCAAGAAGCACCTATGAGCTATGAGTTTGTGTTGTTGATTTAGATGAGCTCATATTGTTGTGTGGGCATATGATATTAGTCTTCTATAAAGTCAGAGTTTATTTTGGGAATCTTAACTGCACTTTGTCCGTTTCAGAGCTTCCTCTGAACATCGTCAAACCCCTGCAGGACACGACCGCCCTCGAGAAGAGCCGCGTGCTCCTCGACTGCACCGTGTCCAACCCCAGATGCAGCATCCGCTGGTACAAAGGCAGCAACGTCATCCTGCCCTCCGAGCGCTTTGAGATCTGCAGCGAAGGCTGCTATCGCAAACTGATCCTCCAGCAGGTGGTGCTAGACGACGAGGGCACGTACAGCGTGCAGGTCGGGGAGTACTCTTGCTCCGCCAAACTGACAGTGGAGGGTAAGGGAGCCTATGATCAATGTCAAGCACTGCGGGATTTTGCAGCCAAACTTTTTCCAAATGTTTTTTTTCTTTTTCATTGCAAGTTCATTGTACAACATAATCTGTGTGATACAACACAATCCAGAGCAGAAAATATATCATTTTACTTTCAAAACCCGTCAGAAATACAGCTTTACAAGGCTATTTGCTAGAGGGATCGTATGTGTTGATACTGTACAACTGCTGTTGTTATTGGTATGGGTTAATAATCCTATACTAAGTATTTGTAGTACTTAAAAATGCCAAGATTTCAATTATCATAGCCCCCACAATGGAACATCGTCTGCACAGCACCCTCAAAGAGTGTTTCAAAGTGCATGGGAGTGTAACGTCTCACACACAACCGTTAGAGCTCCATCTACTGTCAAAGCAAAGCTAACACATGAATTTGCTCCAATTGTAATGGGACACTGTATTTACCCCCCATTTCTTTTCACATGGCTGTTTTCCTTTCACTCTTGCCTTGTTTTAATTTAAAGTATCCATTCGCAGTAGCTTCTTTAGTAATCAAAGAACCCTTAAAGAGTTTAAAGGTGGCTGTTGTGTTCAACTTGAATTAACATCAGTTACAGTCGGCGCAAACTGAGTCACAGTCATTAATTTTAGTCAAAAGGCTGCTTTGGTGTTGTGCATGCTGGTCACACACTTGAATAAAGCAGAGACATCGTTAATGTCATTAGTAACACCTGTGCTTTTAGCTAATCAAGCCAGTCTAAATGACTGCTGTGAAAAATGCCTGTATATGCAGAGCTGAGATGTATATTAATGACTAAACCATGAGCTCAGAAATAAAGGGAGAAAGCAAAAACAGACTCTGGTTCAGGGGTTACGGGGGAAAGATCTACCACTCATCACTTTGTACAAGAAATTAAGAAAAAAGCTTTCAGTAATAGGACAAAGACTGACTGAAAGACTCACCAGAATCAAATACTAACTCTGCTCTAATGAATATGTGTTGTTCGTTGACTACTTTCCCCCCTCTGTTGTGCACTCACTCAGCCCAGTCACCGTTGATGGTCAGAGAGCTGAGGGACGTGGAGGTCGTGGCGCCCGACGAAGCCTGCTTTGAATGCGAGGTCTCGGTGCCGGTCCTCAAAGCTCCCGTGTGGAGTCTGAACGGCGAGCCCTTACAGCCGAGCTCTCGGGTACTGCTGGAGAAGATGGGCACGGTGCACAGGCTGACCCTCAGACAAACCTCCCCGGACATGAGCGGAGAGGTGGAGTTCACCTCTGGGAAAGCGAAAAGCAGAGCCCAGCTTCGGGTACGGAGTAAGTGAAAGAAGTCGCTGTTCGAGGGCATTTTGTGTTTTGTGTTTTTTTTGGGGGGGAAAACGAAATTCAAGATTCATTTTGAAATGCGTTTACATTTCAACTAAATTTACATTGCCAGTAAAAGTCAAAAGGTATGGATTTATGTATACGAGTCTCATAAAAGACTGTAGTGTAAGTATGACTCCTTCATGGATGAACAGTTCCATGTTATCACACTGTTTGGATGCATCTGTGCAACAAGATTTCAAATCATACACAAATATTTCAAAATAATCTCTTTCATATGATGCAGCACACAATATAAAGTTGATGGCATCCTAATTTTTTTCATATCCAATAATATAGTTTGTGTCCTTGGACATGCCATTGGATTAGCTGGAGGAATCAGGCTCCATCTGTGATAACGCCATTGGTTGAAAGTGACTTAATACATGTATTAAAGTACTGTACTTAAGTACAATATTGAGGTACATTTACTTCACTTGAGTATTTGCATTTTCTGCTACTTTATACTTCTTCTCCACTTCTCCAAAACTCTTTTACTCCATTACATTTATTTGATAACTAAAGTTACTTTGCAGATTCACCCATCTTCAACATTAATGCATCAGTAATAATAATTTATTTTATTCTGAAATGGGCAATTCTGGATTATGAATACTTTTACTTTTCACACTGTCCGTATATTTTGATTCCAATGCATCTGTACTTGTACTTCAGTTAAAGAAAAAATAAACACATGACTTTTAATTGTAACAAAGTATTTCTACACTATGGTACTTTTAATAAGTACCAGATCTGAGTAGTACTTCCCGCATTGGGTCACACTCACCAACTGGTGAAACATTGAAACTCAGTGATGGCATTCATAAAAATAACCACTAGATGGAGGTAATTTCAAAGTTTTGAGTTTGCTCATATGACTAAAGAAACATCACAGTGGTGGATGTAGTGACTCCATGCAGAAAGTAGAAGTACATGTATGCTGTAATGCTGTAGTGGTTTTTACTCGTTAAACTATTCAACTAAAAAGCCATATTTGCATTAGAAGCACCACAGAAAAAAACAAAGAACATCAAAAGAACATGAATCCATCAGACTGACCCTGAATTGTCAGGATGGCGTGTTTGTGTTGCCTGACTTGGCACTGCATACGCAGCAATAAATACAGCAAATGTTTTGGCTCCCGAGAGCGCTAAATTCTGTAAATAATATTGAGTGTTTATGATACTACTCAATCTTCAGGCATGTAGGTCAGGCAATATGGAGCGCATACACATCTCAAGCCATTTAAATGTGTAAGAGAGCAAACTATTTTTAGTTTTATTAAGTTGGCTATAAATAAAAGAGTATTATGTTCAATCGTCTGGCGCAGTTTGTGAACCTTTCGTGAATGCATTGAGCTTTAAGACTGCAGCACGACCAGGAGTCACGCTCAGCTGAGGAAATGAATATGGTCACAAACAATTCATTAGTCATAAGCAGAGGTGGAGAGTAACTACTGTACTGGGATACTTGTAGTTAAGTACTTCTACTTTATACTCCTACTTCATTACACCTTTCTGATTCAGATTAATAATACAGAATTTGATTAACAAATACAATGATGATATACAATTATAGGTTAAGATGTGGCAAGACTTTTACATGTTACAGAGTATTTGTACACAGTAGTATGGCTACTTTTACCTGAGGTAAGCAAAAAGGCCATATGATGTTTACGTATATCGTGGGGTTTATAATTTGTTGGTTTGGTCTTCTATTTCCAATCCAATCTATATCCGGAAGGCAAGAAAAATCCTCAGGTTGGAGGTTTAAAGTTTAATCAAGCGTCTCAGTGGTTCCCAACCTGCGAGTTTGCAAGTGGTCTCGAGATTATTGAGACTTGAAAGAAAAATGTTGATTTTTGAGTTTTCTTCCTCCTGGTCAAATACTGGATAATTTTAGCTCTTTAAGCCTTTAATAATCCTTCAAATGAAACAATCCGAGAAGGAAAAATCCCTCTTTGGTCAAACTACTCCCAGCTCAGGTCCATAACTAAGTAACAAGGGTTAAAGGGTCACATGCCAAAAGGCTTTGGAACCACTGGTGTAGAGTAAAGAAAGTGCAGTTTTAATTGAAAAGTTGTTTCAGCTATTTGCAACAGGCTTTTATATATATGTTTAGTAAAAACTAGCTATTGCGTAATAGACATGTTACACCAGACAGGTTTACACATAGACAGAATCAGGTCAAACTTGACCGATGCTCTCTGGTTCTCAGGCTAATTTCTTTTTCTCTGTTCGAATTTCACAGGTGATCCATGAGTGACGTCTTCTATCTGTCCTCACCTAATTGACATGGATGGATTTATCATATTGATGCTTTTAAGTTGTAACATTGACATTGCTTATGTATTGACAAACAGTACGTCTATAAACGTGGTTTAAACAGGGTTGTGATGGATTTTCATGCGGTTAATTCAGGGAGTGGATTTTCTTTCATTAACGTGCTTTGAAGAATTTTCTTTTATGAAATTTCTGTTCATATAATATATAAAGGTTGTCATAGTCAGTGTGTGTGAGTACATTTCAAACAGTTACTTTATCATGATGCAAATTGCAGTTTGGATGTAAATAATGTCCTGTGTGTAACTGGTCTGACTGTAACCATGTTATGGAGGCTTAAACTCGATGTGTATTTATGCCAATAAATATCTTAGTTGAAAACTAAAGAAACAAGCGGAAAGAACAAGTACATGGTTAGGAAGATACGAGAACGGAAAGTCTCGAAAGTTGAGTGCAATCAACCCACAATACATGTAAAGAGACACTTGCTTCAAATACTAATGTAGAGCAAAAACAGAATCTCTTAAAGGTATGATCATCTTTGTGAGTCTTTTATGATATGTCCCTATTTAAGATATTTGCCAGTTTAAAAACAAAACAAAAAAAACACATGCTTTACACATATCTTTAACCATAACTTAGTTGCAGTCTACATGTGCAATTGTGCTAGTTATTACGCAATATAATCTGATTTGCACACATTTTAATTTCCCCATATATCAGTGTGGTTTTGTGCAGCTGTTTTCAGTGTGACCACATAAGAAACACAGTCGACTACAGCCATGTCTCCATATCAAATTTAGATGTTAGAATGGATCATCCAAGCAACGATTCATTACATTTAACAATTCACATCTTTTCATCGGTTGTCAATTGTACAGAATTCGGGTTTTTTTTTTACGTTTTGATGAAAAGTTTGAATGAAAGGCAATTCTGTCTTGCAGCAAGGGGCTTGTGATGTAAATACATTGGGCCAAAAATCTGGTAATTTAGAAAAGAAATAGGTTAAGAAATGTCTTGATCACCTTGATTGATAATCAGGGCATGCTAGTTGTATTGTGCTTGAACTTAACGGAGAATGATAGTCGTTTTCATATGAAATCTGTTCCATATTCCATTTTTTTTTCATTGACTCGTTTCCACCTCTGCCATGTTGTGCTGAGCGTTGAGGTATGTGAAAAAAAGGTACTGTCGTAAAATGTGACCCGTTTCAATAAAACATGCTTTATTGACGCACGGTAAAAACAGCTCTAGTTGTCTCTCTTTTTTTACAATCAGCAGCGATTTAAAAACTCACTTGTTTGAGCAGTTTTCTTTACTTGAGTCAAAATGTTAATACTCTTGTTGCATACATTAAAAAAAGTGAAAACATAATTAAAAGACAGGTTATGGTTTTTCACTTATTGCCAAAGTATCTTTTTTTCCCCCAAATCTCACACTGACACAGTCACACACACATACAAATATACACACATTCACTCCAGACCAAGTTTAAGTAAATCAGGGCTCCAGCATTGTCTGGCACAAGTTACCTCAATGAAACTGCATTTACAGCTTGATACGGCACTACAATGACTCCATTATGGTCTTGCACGAATAAAAAGTTTAGTGATCAAAGTGTGCTTTCAAATTAAGTGTCAATCTTCTTTAGGTTGGCGTAGCAGGTTACAGCCGCCTCCTGCACACGTGTACAAGATTGCATTAATGATGGGCCGCACACTGTGGTAGCCAACTCAACTAAAAGCTCCTAATAAACGAAAAAAAAATATGAAAATAACATCAGGTAAAATAGCATTAAAACCAAATCAAAACAACTGCCTGATATACTGTATGTACAAAATCAATCTCACCATTCTTTCCGCAGTGGTGAGTCTGTGAAAGGTCCAATCAGTGTGCAGTCGACCTGTTTTCTTAGTGCTAATCCAGAACAGTCCAAAAGATCCAGATCTTACAGCTTTTTTTTTCTGATAATGGTATGAGATTAACTAATGAATAAGATTAGGGTGTTTTGTGACTGAACTGGACGTAAGAAAACATACTAAAATGGGTTATTACAATAGAACATTTGTGATTAAACCTTATCAGTCATCTGTAATGTAGTGATTAAGGACTGCAATCAATGACAGTGGATTCCCACGATTACTGTTCCGGTTTCTTTTCAATCTAAAAATGCAAATGCTGAAGTGTATGGTGTCTTTTTGGACCCACATTCCTACCACACACTGCATTTGTTCGAAGCTCTCCAAAGACATACAGGAGGTGCACATCAAAAATGTCTGTTCCTTAGTGAAATGTGCAAAAACATGTTATTGATATTATTAAACCAACATTTTCTTATGTTAATGATTGTCTTTTACTACACATACATTTGCCCATTTTAGGCAAAACAAGTAAGTTAATGGGGTTTAAGGATCAGTCTTCAATAACTTGTTAAATTAAGCATTATCACATATAATACTATTCTGAAATGAAGATGACCGAACAACAACCCAGTACACTTACACGGGTCACTGCTGTCACATAAGGACAACAACAACAACAATACACTAGCTGCACTGCAAAAGATGTCTACAGAAGTCATTGAATCTGATATTCAGTCCTTATCTAGCATTACAGAGAAGAAAAGAAAAACATATTTGGATTGGATAACTTTCAATGCTGAAATACCAAACCCTGCTGGAAGATTGCTGTTCACCTTTTGTTATGCAATAGACTGTACGAACACCAGATTAAATGAGGTTTTTTTTTTTGCAGTGTGGTCCTTGTAAATGGAAGCAGCGTGGAGCCTGCAGCCCACCGGCCTCCGTGGCCCCGTGACGGCAGCTGCTGGTGATTGTTTTCATCCTAGTGTCCTGCCTCTGTTAACTTGAAGTCCTCTGCTGCTGCTGCTGCTGCTGCTGCAGGATGTCATAGACGTCGTCCACTTTGCTTAGTCTCTCAAAGAAGGGGATAAGATCGAGGAGCTCGGTGTCGGACATGTCGTCAAACCAGGATACTACAGGAACCTGGAGGTTTGAAGAAGCAAGATACGGTGGAATTAGAAGACCTTTTCAATACCCCACAGTACTTAATAGTATCCAATTGTATTAATATTGCAGATTTTAGAGAACAATATAAATGCATGTTGTGCTTTGCAGAGAAAGAAACATAAATGACATACTGCGTTTTCGGGATGGAAGATGTAGGAAGCTGGGGAGTTATCAATGATGATGACCTTGTTGAGTTCTCTCCCTAAACGGCTCAAGTCTTTAACGTAGTTCCCTTTGTGGAAGACGCACGACTCCCGGAACAGACGGCTCTGGAAAGCCCCCCATTTGTCCAACAGGTCCGACACAGGATCCGCGTACTATAGTAGCAGGAGAAAACCAGGGAATTATGTATGGGTGTGTTCATTTGAATTGAACTTTACATGACTTATGAGAAATACTAGACTAAAGTGAGTAAAACATGTCGACTGTGAATGGGAGAAAAGAACCACATAAAACAAACACGGACAACTGAAGTAAAATGGTAACGCATGCTGTAGGATTTCCTCAAAAGTCCCAACACGGCAATATTTTTTTCAAATTTTATTTGTAAACAGTCTCCTATATTCACACTAGACAACAGTATTAACAACTAGTTCATTATTTACACCAGCAGACAGTTTTAGGAAATAGTTCCCTATTTACACCAGCAGTCCGCATTAACAAATAGTTCCCTATTTACACTAGACACATTTACACAGTATTAGCAAATAGTTTGTTATTTACACTAAACAGTATTAGCAAATAGTTCCCTATTTACACTAGACACATTTACACAGTATTAGCAAATAGTTCCCTATTTACACTAGACAACAGTATTAGCAAATAGTTCCCTATTTACACCAGCAGACCGCATTAGCAAATAGTTCCCCATTTACACTAAACAGTATTAGCAAATAGTTCGTTATTTACACTAGACAACAGTATTAGCAAATAGTTCCCCATTTACACTAGACAACAGTATTAGCAAATAGTTCGTTATTTACACTAGACAACAGTATTAGCAAATAGTTCGTTATTTACACTAAACAGTATTAGCAAATAGTTCCCTATTTACACCAGCAGACCGCATTAACAAATAGTTCCCCATTTACACTAGACAACAGTATTAACAAATAGTTCCCCATTTACACCAGCAGACAGTTTTGGGAAATAGTTCCCTATTTACACAAGTAGACTGTATTAACAAATAGTTCCCCAATTACACTTGTAGACAGTATTAGCAATTAGTTCCCTATTCACACCAGCAAACTGTATTAGCACTTCCCTATTAATACTAGCAAAGCTAGTTCCCTATCTACACCAGACGAAAGTTTTAGTAAACAGCTCTTTTTTGCATTAGCAAACAATACTAGCAAACAATTCCCTATTTACACCAGCAGACACACAGCAACATTAGCAATAATTTAAGTCGTGTTCATCAGGTAGCTCTGCCATTAGTCTCAACCAACTCCTGAGGGAAATATCTGTTTTTTTAGCTGCTAAATGCTCAACTTCGTTCACTAGCTAGTCGCCATCTCCGTTTGTTGTTTTATAGTAAGCCCAGTAAAGTCGAACATTACAGCTTACACAAACCCACAACCAACCTACATCAAGTTCAATGCACAGAACCTTCATGTCAGGTACAGAGTAGTGCTATCTGCAACATGTAAGCGTGGACGTTTTCATAACATGGAAAAGGTGCAGCTGTATGTGCTGTTGACAGACATGGCAACTACGACGTAATTAATCAAGTGTGAAGGAGTCACTGAGCCACGACCGACCAAATGTTTCACAAAGTTAAGTTGAGGCTAACGCAGTTTGAAGTAAATGTGAGAGGTTGAAATGTCCGTGCAATCGCCTGACAGGTATCATAAATAAATCTTCATGTGCGAGGGTGTATGTGAAAGGTTACAATTCAAACACAGAAATGACACTTCTACAACACTATATAATGAGTCAGTATATAATGAGTCACATTTTTAAGCGTAAGCTGAACAGAATACGGACAGTGTTCTCACCTTGGATAAGCTTGCGGTGAACAAGACGCACTCGAACAATTCTCCCATCCTTTTGAGGAATTCGTCAACGTGGGGTCTCTTTAACACATACACCTGGGGGGAGATATGAAAGGCATAGGAGTATGAAATCAACAGCTGTTGCCCCACATGCTTTACCTTTTAAAGAGAACTTATAAAAAGACAAACTACACATGAGGAAGGAAATGGTAATCCTACTTCTGACCTGTGTGTCCAGATATTCTGAAGACAGTTTATTAAAACTTTCATTATCAAGAGATCTTATTGGATGACAAGGATTGATATACATTGTATGGTGTTCAGGGCTGTCTACAATGACACTTATTAATGAAAATGTTACTCTTGTACGTTTGCGCAGGGAAAGAAAGATGGCATCCTAGATGTCCTTGTTCTTTATAAACATTGTGTTATCAAACAGGGGGGGGTTGACACGCAGTGAGAGTCTCTCTGCGATTTCATCTGCCTGTTAAACGTGACGCCTTGACCCCCAGACGTATACTTTTTGCCATATCTCACAGGCACTTTATTCCATCATTCAATTTTTTCCTCATGACTTCATATCATTGTTTTCTCTTTCTGTGTTAATAAGTGCTTTTTAAATACCAATGTATTGGGGTAATGAGGGGCCCCAGTCAAAAGCACCCAATTGCAGCCTATGGAGTTGTAATAGATGCAATTGAATAAATAGATCAAACGTTTGCCATGGGTCCTAATTTAAAGTATGACACAGACTCAGATGTAGCAGACATAGATTTCCTCATGTGCTCCACCTGTTTTTTAATTACATGAATAATAATGTTTTGAGAAGACATAAGGTAACATTTGGCTATTGTGGTTGATTCTTTCGGTAATTAATTATTGTGGTCGGTAGTCCTTATAAGTTAAATACAGTAGGTTGGTAGGATGAGGGTTATAATGATATATTTATAGTTATTGTCATAGTTATTGATCTTGGTGTGGACGGCCCTTTACCCACTGCGAGCACTAATCTTTGCTACCTTTAACATTATTTTCTTTTGTATGCTGATAATTCTATGTTGCTAAAACGACATCAAAAACCGCAAAACACAAAGCTGTAATATCCAACCCGAGAACATCTCATGTAACCACCCCAACAGTTCTCTAAAACGTCTTCTGCTACGATGCTGGCGGCCTCGTTTCTGAACCAAGTCATCCCGAACAGGCTTTCCCCACTTTAACAAGCCTATCCTGGATTACTTGAAACAGACGCAGGCCCTTTGGACAAACAAAGCCCCTCTTGTCTTCAGGGAGGCCCAGCACAACATTGAATGCCTGCAGGTGAATAGCCAGTGCCATTCCCCAGCACCGATGAGCAGGACGTAATATGCGCCGCAGTGCGAGATTGATGGCCAGTGATTTCTGAGAAGCCTGCCAGGGTTTCCTCATTTCGTCAGGCCACGTAAATAGCCACCTGCTGCTTGGAGCCGTCAACAGAGCGGGCTACAGCACTGTCAGGCGGCTAAGCACAGTGTTTCCAGTTCAAACCATGGAGGAGTTCTGAATTCTCCTCCCTTACTTGTGTTGTCCTCCCGACTGCCATACACCTGTTGTCCTCTGGGGTCAAAAATGACCCCACCTGGTTTGACTGTTTTTATAGCATACAGTATAAATTGTCAATCAATTCTGTTTTACACATTTAGTGTTACTTTAGTCCAACACATTACCACAAATCGTTCCCTTCATTTTGGAATTTAGGGCCAATAGACCTTGTTTACATAAAAGTATACCCTGTTTTTGAGTGAAAATACAATGAAACAATGAATTATTTTGACTTTATATTATTTTTTACTATTTGACTGATCACAGAGAGGTACATATCAAAGTTTAGTGAGGATGCTGTTCTTGAATCATTTGAATTTTTCTAATGGCAGCACATAATCACACCTGTTGTCCTCTGGGGTCAAAAATGACCCTGTCAGGTTTGACTGTTTATAAAGCATACAGTATAAATTATCACCCACCTCTGTGTTTCAACTCCTTGGTCAACTTTATTCCAAGTCATTACCTGACATATAAAACATGTCAACATTCATTTCTGCAACATTTAACCCTCCTGTTACCTTCCAATTTACTAACACCTGTTATCCTGGGGTCATTTTTGACCCAGTTGTCCCCATTAAATTAGGAAAAGTCATTCAATATTAAACCAAAAATATGTCTCATTTATTTAGAACATTTTGTGCTATCCTGGGGTCAAAAATGACCCCAGGACAACACAAGGGTTACTTTTGTATTTGAAGGCTCGTAAGAGTTCATAAATCATCCTACTGTTCAGGTCAGATGGTGTCTTGCACAATTTTTGTATGGTTGCCGGTGTGATATGCAGTGCAGTAATGGTCAGAACACATAAACGGTGTTTTGTATCAATCCTGCTTTCACAAAGTTTGACACAAATCTTTGGGGCTCTTAGCAGGAAACCCATCAAGCTTGTAGAAACTTCCAATGATGGCTGCTTCATGCGTCAACGTTGTGGTGATGTGACTGAAGCAACACGAGAAGACGACAGCGTATGAAATGACCATGTCAGCATATAAAGTGCCTACCTGGTGAACTGTTCCATCAATTTCCACTGGAATGATAAAATCAGCATTGTTCACTGGCTGTTGAAGACAAAAGCAGAGCTGTTAAAACACACAAATTTAATTTAACACATTTAATCTCCAAAGGAAATCAACTTTTTTTTTCTCCATAGAGATGTGAGTGATGGCAACAAATCTGAAAGGATGTGTCAAACAGACGCAAAGACGCCACCTCAGCGTCTTTTAAATCACACAATACTGAAAATAGCATGACCCTTGTCACTTTCATCATTGAAATGTGGGTGCTACAGAAAGTGAT